GTGCATCTCCTTTTAAGGGAGCTCGTCAGCTAAGAACTCCAAAGTTAAGCGTGCTTGCACGGGAGTAGTCTTGGGATGGGTGACCCCCTGGGAAGTTTCTCAGGGCGCGCACGAGTGAGGACAAAGTGCGCGGTAAAGGCTCATGGTGGTTTGTGAGGATAGTACTAGAGGTCCGAAGAGAGTTTGGAGTAACTACCTTGGGTCCTGGAGGGCCAGGGTGTTACAAATGGTATCAGAGCAACCCTGCGACAGTGTGCTGATCCGTTAGATATCGGGCGGGCACTTGGCAGGGGAAAAGATTCTGGGATATGATTGATATTGGTTTATGGGCGCAACGAGGACGTTGCGACCCTAAGTGGGGGTGATTGTAATACCCGAGATTAATTTAAGAGGATTAATAGTACTACTCATACCAACAGAGGTGCATCTCCTTTTAAGGGAGCTCATCAGCTAAGAACTCCAAAGTTAAGCGTGCTTGCACGGGAGTAGTCTTGGGATGGGTGACCCCCTGGAAAGTTTCTCAGGGCGCGCACGAGTGAGGACAAAGTGCGCGGTAAAGGCTCGTGGTGGTTTGTGAGGACAGTACTAGAGGTCCGAAGAGAGTTTGGAGTAACTACCTTGGGTCCTGGAGGGCCAGGGTGTTACATGGATTCTGTCTCAGAGAGGGGTCCTTCTCAAACTGTTCTGTAATGAGTGTCTTTCTTCTTCTCCCACTATCATCATACTTCTTTTCTCCATCTTGTCCTTGTCTCTTGGACACTCTGGGATGTGGACAATTTGCTTTGATAAACTCTTTCCAAAATGATAACATTCGGTCCCGGTTATACAAGGTACAGTCTAGAGGGGGGTGGGGGTGAATAGACTGTACTGGTTTTTAACTTTTTCAAGCTAAGTACCAGTCTTAACAGAATAGCCTGTTCTGTTGAAGAACAGATTGGCAGTGGATGGTGTTCTGGTAGAGGTTCTGTACGGTTAGCCTCAAAGAGATGCAAAGGCCGTAGGCCTTCTGTTAACTCACAAGACGAGTTCTGCTGAACACAGAGACCAAGTCTTTGATAGTTAATCAGTTGAAAATAAAACCAAGTATTAAAAGCAGTAAGTAAATGACACCAGGGATTTTAATAGTGGTTCAAGGAACAACATGTTCATCTAATCCAGTGTTCCACTAAGCCTGTAAAAATGTAGATTACACAGCTTTAGTCTTAGCACTTAAGAAGCTCTCCACGTCTTCTTCAAGTGTAGATGTCTCCTGGGATGCACTTCCTTGCTTCCTTTAAGACTGGTCCTTTCACTGATTTTCCTTGAAGTATCCTCACTTCAACACTCCAGTTACTTTGGACGTCCTTCTTTGATAATAAGATTGCTTTGTAAAAACAGAGGTTAGTCCAATTTGCTTCGTCATGAAAGATGTGTAGATGAGGTATTTGAAGTGTTGAAGAACTGGTGGAACTTTGCTTTTGTTGGAATTTGAAGATGTGAAAATATTATCTTTCCAATGTAAGGCTTTTCTTGTTGAGGATGATGAAGTTGATATCTCAAGAAGCTGTAATGGAGTTACTAACCGTGTTCCTTTTCACAATAGCATGAAAATATTCGGTGCATTTGTCACTTTGGGCAAGGTGAGTAGCATTTGCTTTTTGTCTAAAAAATTCCTCTTCGGCCTTCTTAAGGATGAGAACCTTTTTCTTGGAAAAAGCAAGATCATTTTTAATAATTTCATCAATAGGAGAGAGCATGGAAAGAGGACCCATTCTCCATCTTCTCCATCTTGATGAAATTTTTAATAATTTCATCAAGAGGGTCAATCTGGTGTTCTGGTGTTGCAGTGTCTTCATCACCAATCACATGGTGTTCTGGTGGAGAAGACACCAAGAGCTTTTCTAGTTGTTCAACAATCAGAGGGCTTTTAGGCCCCCTGAATTGCAGTTTGTTCATCCACTTCTTCTTCTGAATGAACCTTCTTTGGGGAGCCATGTTTAGTTGATTCTGATTCAGAGCTATACACTACATGTTTGCTCTTCCATCCGGTCTTCTTGGGGTTTCCTGAAGCCAGAGAATCCTGAAGTTCCCCTTGAGGTGTAGCACTCTGAATGGGTGTGCCAGCCCTATTTTGAATCTTGATCTTCTTTTTAGCGTGTGCTTCAGAGCCTTTAGAGTCATAACTCTGAACAACAGGCTTCCTCCTCATGCTCTTCTTCTTCTTCTCCTTCTTCTCCTTCTTCTTCTTCTTCTTCTTCTTCTTCTTCTTCTTCTCCTTCTCATTCTCCTTCTCATTCTCCTTCTCCTTCTCTTCTTCTTCCTATTCTTCTTCTTCTTCTTATTCTTCTTCTTCTTCTCCTCCTCCTCCTCCCTCTCCACCTTCTCCTCCTTCTCCTTGTTCTCCTCCTTCTCCTTCTTCTTCTCCTTCTGCATCTTCTCCTTCTTCTTCTTCTTCTCCTTCTTCTCCTTCTCCTTCTTCTCCTTCTCCTCCTCCTCCTCCTCCTCCTCCTCCTCCTCCTTCTCCTTCTCTTTCTCCTTCTTGTTCTTCTTCTTCTCCTTCTCCTTCTTCTCCTCCTCCTCCTCCTCCTCCTCCTTCTTCTTCTTCTTCTTCTTCTTCTTCTTCTTCTGCTTAGCAGGAGATCGTACAAGAGTGCTCTGTTAAGGCAATTCTGGTACAACCTTCTTCTGGATGGTTTTCTTCTTAGCAGAGAAGTCTTCAGAAGGCTTATGCTGGGGTTGAGTATTCTTCTTTGATATATTTCCTCCCTTAGCCTTCTCCATCTGGTGTTCTCTTTTTAACTCCATCTGATGTTCTCTCTTTAAATCAGCTTTAATTGCTACTTCTCTGTTGGAGGAGGTGGTCAGGAAAATCAGTTTGGTGTGGTCAACTGCAGCCACTTGTCTCAAACCAGCGTCTTGTTTGAGTAAGATTTCTGACAATACTAGTCCATGACCAAGCTTACAAGAGCAGAGGCCAGACTCAGGATCCTTCTTTTTGATGAAGTCAATGATGGACCTGACAATCACCTTACCCCAGTTCATGTTCATGCCATGGAGAATAGCAAAGATTTCTATGGCATGTGGAATTGTCACAACATCCGTGGAGCCAGTTCTGCACCATACACACTTGTGCAGGATGTTCACCAACTTCTCATAGTCCCTCTTTAGAAAACATTTCTTAATGTTGAACTTCTCAATCTTGCCTGCTCCAGTCTTGTAGCCGTTCTTTGTAAAGTGCAGAACACCTACATTCACATTTTTCAGATCAATGAATGTGGTGACAACTTCGCCTTATGGATCAACAGTGATGGAAGAATTCATTAACCCCTTCTGGTTGAGTGTGATATCTTGACCGTTGACGTGAGAGTGGATGGTTTCCCCCTCAAACGTGGCATTGAGATAAAACTCAGCAACATCCATGGTGCTGAAGTTCTCATATGGATGTGTCACCTCTTTGCTCAGTTGAGAGTCGTTCAGTCCTTCAATGATTTTGGCCATCCTTTTTTGATTTGCGGCCAGTTGTGGTAATGCGCTCAGGTTGCATCTCATACCAGTGACAACATTCTTGATAAGAGCTTTGGCTTCTTGTGTGGAGAGGTCCTTGATGCTGATGAACATCATTTTAGTTTAAGGAAGATGAAAGACTGAGCTTTTGGGAGTAGAGAGAGAGTTTGAATGTTTGGAGAGATAAAGTGTTGTACGGATTATGGTGGTAGTAGGGGAATATATGGTTTTGGGTTAGTGGACGTTTGATATTATTGGCGTTTTTGAGGTTTCATTAAATGAAAGGGGCGCAGTAATTTTTCCGTGGCTGTAATAACTCCAAAGGTATAGGAGTAAAATACCTGCTTAAGTAATTAGGTCAGCCCATTCCTCAAAAATTTGCCTAAGTCCACAACCATATAGGCTTATCTCATAGGGTCTCTGTCCCATAGGTGTTCTGGTTCAGCGGTGTTCTGGTTCAAGGGTCTCTAAGGAGATCATCCATCATGCCTAGTTCTTCCCTTAGCTTGTTGAATCTTGACTCACAGAGAGGTTTGGTGAGGATGTCTGCAAGATGGTATTCTTTTGGCACATGTTCCATGAAAATGTGCTTCTTCTCCACATGATCTCGGATGAAGTGATGTCTTATCTCAATGTGCTTGGTCCTGGAATGTAGCACTGGATTCTGAGTGATTGCAATGGAACTCGTGTTGTCACAGAGGAGCTTGATCTCCTTTGCATGAATCCCATAATCTTTGAGTTGTTGCTTCATCCAGAGTAGTTGAGCACAACAGCTTCCAGCAACTATATATTTTGCTTCAGTTGTACTTGTTGACATAGAGTTCTGCTTCTTGCTAAATCAGGAGACAAGTCTCCCACCTAGCAATTGACAGTGACTAGAGGTGCTCTTTCTGTCTAACCTGCAACCTGCAAAGTCTGAGTCAGAGTAACCAATTAGTTCAAAGTAACCTCCTTTGGGATACCATAGGCCTGCATTTGGATTTGCTTTGATATATCTAATAATTCTTTTTGAAGCACTAAGATGTCTCTCCTTGGGCTTTGATTGGTATCTGGCACAGATTCTAACAGAGAATGATATGCCTAGTCTGCTTGCAGTTAGATACAGAAGAGATCCAATGATTCCTCTATACATTGTTGCATCTACATCTTTTCCTTCATTATCTGGTCCAATTCCTTGTGATGTGTTCATGGGAATCTTGACAGAAGTCTTTCCCTCAATTCCAAACTTCTTGATAAGGTCTCTGGTGTATTTCCCGTTGTTGATGAAGATCCCTTCTAGAAGTTGTTTCACTTGCAATCGTAGGAAATAGTTGAGTTCTCCCATCATACTCGTTTCAAATTGACTCTGCATAACTTGAGAATACTTCTTTCATAGTTCTGCATTAGTACTTTCAAATATAATATCATCAACATATATTGGTACTTACAAAATATGATGTAAGGAATAATTGTAATTAGATTTTGATGTTGTTATATTTATTAGGACTTTAGAGTACCTCTCTTTAGAAATTTGTATTATAAATTTTCAAGATCTAAAAGCCAAGTTGAGAGCGTCTCTCACTAGTCCGTAAATCACTGTTCATTGCAGTTTACGACTCTAGCTTCTTGGCTATGGATCGAGCTATTCTTCGAGTTTTATGACTGCCTTTTGCTTGACATAAGATAGGAATCGCTCCTAGATGCTAAGTCGTGCTTGGATTTGTTTTCAGGTTGGGATTTGAAGACCAATTTTAGCAATAAACGATTTGAATTTCTGATAAAACACTGTTCATGTCCGGAACCGTTTTGCCTCCTTGCTGAAAATTTCACGATTCTTTTTTGTTTTGGAGCATGGTATGATGTTCGCCATCACCAGATGAAGCTTTTCGTATACTTTTGAGCTGCTGCTGTAAGGAGTTCTCAGTTTGAAGTACTGTTCAAAACTCGTAATATACCCTGCGAACTCGGAAATTTGTATGGCCGGTAAGAAAGCGGGGAAAGGCGGCGCTACTCCCTCCATGAGTACCAGGTCTAGAGCTTCAGCGGGTTTCAGTGTTCTGGAAGATCTGGATGTCGATTTCCCTATCCTACAAGCTGGGAATGGGAAGCTGACACAGGGGAGTCCGGCAGGTTCTAGGATTGAAAATCCTTCCACTGACCTGCAGGTATCTTCTAATCCTGGTAACAAACAGGTCACTGCTGGGATTGGGAAGCTGACACAGGGGAGTCCGGCAGGTTCTGGGATTGTTTATGAAACTTCTGCCACTGAGCCGCAGGTTAATTCTAAACCTGGGAACAAGCAGGTGACTGCTGCTATGCTAACATCTTCTGGAAAGCAGGGGACTGATACAGTTGCTCTTTCTGCTCCAGGAGAGAATGATAACATTAAGGTTTCGATTGCTTCTGCTGTTGTAACTCCTACAGCAGCTCCCAAATCCCAAACAGTTATGAAACCATGGTCTAACCTGTTCAAGGATAACCGAGCTCCGGCCCACGGCATCAAACTAAAATACATCCCGCCGAAAGGTAACTCCTTGGATTTCGCTGGGAGGGTACTACCATCCATGATTGATATGTGGGGCCATTGCCTTGTTGGATGCTTTACGGGTACATTCCCTGGCCTTAAAGCTATTTATGAACTGAGGGAAAAATGGGGAGTAAGATGCCTAATTAGGCCCCATGACAAGGGATGGGTTATTTTCAAATTCCAAAATGAAGTTGATAGAGCTAAAGTTCTCAATGAAGGGCCGTATAATATTTTTGGGAAACTCTTAATGTTGAAGGAACTTGGTGATGATTTTTCGTTTGACGATGAAGAATTTTTAAAGGTACCGATTTGGGTCAAATTCCCTAATCTACCGCTAAAACTTTGGAATGATGAGGCTATGAGCGAAATAGCATCTATGGTTGGGGTTCCATTAACCACGGACAAGGTTACCCAGGAAAAAATTAACCACCACTTTGCTAGAGTGCTGATCGAGGTGGATATTTCGAAGCCACCACCACTTTCATTTCCTATACGGTTACCCTCCCGAAAGGTATTCAATCAAACCGTGGTTTATGAAACTTTCCCGAATTTTTGTTTTCATTGCAAAGAATATGGGCACCACCCATTTATTTGCAAAAAACTAGCTGAGAAGGAACGGGAAGCAACTATCCCCGAAATAGAAACAGTTAAAGATGCAGAGCCTGAGAAGACAACACTTGATCCACCTGCTGCTGCTCCGGCTTCTCTGGAGACTGCCGTTCCCGAACCGGGAACTACTACTCTAGCCTGTCTGGTGGCTGCTACGCCGCAAAGAGCTGCTTCTTTTTCTGCGGTTGCAATCTCTGCTGCAACTTCTCAAGCTGCTGATCATGCTTCACTTGCTGCTGCACCTGCCGCTGCAATCCCCGCTGCTGCCCATGCGCCGCAACCTCCTGCTGTTCATGCGTCGCAACTTACTGCTGGAGTTGACATTGAAATGAAGGTTGGAAGGGAGCCTGATGTGCTTAAAACTGCTGCACCTGTACCCCAGGTTGCTGCCAAACGGAATAAAAAGAAAAAGATGAACACGGGCAGGACGAAGACTATAAAATCTGCTGCTAGAGCACCAAAAAGGATTGAACATGAGAGCTCAGGAGAGACAGACAGCTCTTGGGAGGAGGACTTGGGGTCGGACTTTGATGAAGTTTATATGGATGGTAAAGTGTTCACGATTAGAAAAGATGCTAAAGTGTGCAGAAATAGAATGATACGGAGAATTCCAGGCTTAAGTTGGGAGGATACATTTACTAAAAAGAAGATGGCTCTTCCTGAATTTTTTAGGAATCGGACAGATGGGAAGAAGTAAATGACTGGAATAGTTAGTCAGTTTATTTTTTGACTTTGTGATTTGGGGGCTGTCCAATTTTTATAATTGAATTATTATATCTAGGTTAGTCTTCTCTAGCTTAGATAGTCATTGAGGTCTTTTTTGATGCATTGTAAAATGCTATTTTTGGGTGCTTTTATATATACTTACATTTCATCCAAAAAAATTGTATTATAAATTTTCCTTGTAAAGTTTCTTAGAATAGTCGACTGACAGAAGACCTCCTGACAGAAGACCCTTTGATAGACTTAGTGTTAACAGAAGATCTTTGGTTCTCTGTTGGTTCATATCCAGACAGAAGACCCCCTGGTTCTATGTTGGACTTCTCTTCAACAGAATCTGTCAAGACCCTCTATTGGTTCGCTTCTTGACAGAAGACCTAAGAACTCTCTGGTAGCTTATTCCTACAGAAGTGCTCGAGACCTACTCCGGTTGACCCTCTGCTGAAGACACCAGAAGGCCTGACACTTAGTGAATTTTTATGAATCTACTTTAGCCGGTAAAACCAACGGAATATTTCTTCAATGGCTAGAAGACTTCAACGACAAAGCTACAGTACGTGCATTAAATGCACATTTAATGCACTCAGTACGCCAAAGAGTAAATACAGATGATTGGCCGAAATGTCAGGATAACCTTATCCCAAAATAGCAACTTGCCAACTTTACTGGGTCCTACTGGTCAAGTCAATTGTTCGCGCATTTAATGAAGCTGTCTTCTACACGCTCCCGGTATATAAGATACACTTCGAAGGATTGGAACACAACGATTCTTCTACAAGAAAATATATTCAAACGCTCAAAGACTTCAACCTCTTTTCATCTCGAGCAACACTTAACGTTGGAAAAGATCTAAACTTCATATCTTTTCTTCCCAACGTAAAAGAATCGTTCCTCCAGTTCTTCAACACTTCGAAAGCCTACACTACACATTATTTGTGAAGAAGCTACGTTGGAGAAACCAGATTTTAAATCACATACTTCTTGAAAAAGAAGGGACGTCTCAAACTAGCTGGAGTAAGTGAAGTGGGGATACTTCCAAGAGACTCAGTGAAACGAGACCAGCCGTCAGGAAGCAAGGACTGCATCCCGGGTGGCAACTAGACTTCAAGAAGACGATGAGTGCTTCTTAAGTGCTAGGGACTAAGGCGTTGTAAACTGTCATTTTTACATGCTTAGTGGCACAGTGGATTAGAGGAACGAGTTGTTCCTTGAACCACTATAAAAATCCCTGGTGTCATTTACTTATTGTTTTTAATTCTTGCATTGACTATAAACTGTTTAAACTCCAGAGATTTGGACTCTGTGTTCAGCAGAACCTTTTCTGTGAGTTAACAGAAGACCTATTGCCTTTGCATCTCTTAGAGGCTAACCGGACAGAACTCCTACCAAAAGACCATCCGCTGTCAGTCTGTTCTGCCAACAGAACAGACTATTCTGTTAAATCTGGTACTTAGCTTGGAAAAGTTAAAAACCAGTACAGTCTATTCACCCTCCCCTCTAGACTGTACCCAGTACAACCGGGACCAACAAGTGGTATCAGAGCCTCCTTGTTCTTGTAATCTTTTAGGTTACCTGTTGAACATAGATCCACTTGTTTTAGCCTCTTTTAATCTCCTATTATGGATAACACTCTGTCAAAGAACCTGATGTTTTCAGTTACCAAGTTTGATGACTGGAAAATACGCATGAAGGCCCATCTCTTTGCACTACACGATGAAATGTGGGAAGTCCTAGATGCAGGTCCTTTTACTGAGTTCACCAAGGTGAATCCTGAATACACTATTGGCAGTGGTCAATCCCAAATGATCACTAAGCTTCGCCATGAGTGGTCAAATGAAGAAAGAAGGAAGTACAACCTTGACAACATAGCTAAGGACATCTTGTACAAAGCCATAGACAACAAGTACTTCACAAGAATCGAGAAGTGCACCTCTGCCAAGGCTATCTGGGATACTCTTACCCTAATAGGAGCTGGTGATGAGCAGGAGAAAGATAACAAGCTTACCAATACTATGAAGAAGTTTGAAGATTTCAAGTTTCTACCCAAAGAGTGCATAGCTGAGATGTATGCACGCCTGCTCACCCTCACTGCTGAGATTTCAGAACTTGGGAAGGACTTGAGTCTACAAGATTAGAAAGGCCCTCTATGGTCTTAAGCAAGCTCCCAGAGCATGGTATGACACATTGTCCCTATTCCTAGTGAACCATGGGTTTACTAAGGGAAAGGTTGACAAAACTCTATTTCAGATTTTTGTTGCTAATCATATTCTGTTAGTACAAATATATGTTGATGATATTATATTTGGAAGTACCAATGCAGAATTATGCAAGAAAATCTCTCAAGTTATGTAGAGTCAATTTGAAATGAGTATGATGGGAGAACTGAGCTACTTCCTAGGACTGCAAGTGAAACAAGTTCGTGAAGGAATTTTTATCAACCAAGGGAAGTACACCAGAGACCTGATCAAGAATTTTGGTGTAGAAGGCAAATCCTCAGTGAAGATTCCCATGAACACTTCACAAAGAATTAGACCAGATGATGAAATAAAAGATGTTGATGCAATAACCTATAGAGGAATCATTGGATCTCTTCTATATCTAACTGCAAGCAAACCAGACATATCATTCTCTGTTGGAATCTGTGCCAGATACCAATCAAAGCCCAAGGAGAGCCATCTAAGTGCTGTAAACAGATTATTATCGGATACATAAAAGAAAATCCAAATGCAGGCCTATGGTATCCCAATGGTGGTAACTTTGAACTAATTGGTTACTCTCACTCAGATTTTGCAGGTTGCAGGTTAGACCGGAAGAGCACCTCTGGTCATTACCAATTGCTAGGTGGGAGACTTGTTTCCTGGTTTAGCAAGAAGCAGAACTCTATCTCAACAAGTACAGCAGATGCTGAATACATTGCAGCTGAGAGTTGCTGTGCTCAGCTACTATGGATGAAGCAACAACTGAAGGATTATAGCATTCAAGCAAAAGAGATCAAGCTTCTTTTTGACAACACAAGTTTCATTGCTATCACTAAGAATCCAGTTCTTCATTCCAAGACAAAGCACATTGAGATCAGACATCATTTCATCAGAGATCATGTTGAGAAAAAGCACATATGCATGGAGCATGTGTCAACAGAAGACCAACTTGCAGACATACTGACCAAGTCTTTGCCTGAGGCTAGGTTCAACAAGCTGAGAGAAGAATTGGGAATGATGGATGAAATTCCTAGAGATGGTTGAAAGGAAGACCTTTTGTTGCAAAATCTCTGTTACAGAAACCCAGGTACAAAACCCCTTTTGTTCCTCGCCTTGAACAAAGAACCTTTGTTCCTAACAGAATACCTCAGCAACAGAAACCCTTCTTATTCCTAACAGAAGGTTGTGGACTTAGAAATTCTTGAGTAAACGGGCGACCTAGTTAATTCTTAAAGGTCTTTTACCCCTTTACCCCCTAAAACGATATTACAGCTGCATAACATTTACTGCGCCCCTTTTTTATTTATTGGTACCTCGAAACTGCCAATAATCTCAAACGTCCACTAACCCAAAACCATATATTCCCTCTTTTCAACCTGAACCGCTACTGCTCACCTTACTCTCAAATCTTCGAACTTCCTTTACTCTCTAAGCTCTCAGAATCTCAAAAACTCTCTGCAATGGCTTTCATTAACATCAACGACCTCACCGAAGAAGAAATCAATCTCTTGGTCGCCAATATCTACACCGGAATGAACTGTGATCTTTCCGCACTCCCTGAATTGGCTGTGAATCAAGAAACAATGATGAAAATCATTCAGGGAATGAAGGATTCCCAACTGGACAAGCTCGTAGGATATCACTTCAACTCCTACAGCACCAAGGATGTGGCTGAGTTCTATCTCAATGCCACATACGAAGGAGAACCCATCCATTCTTTTGTCAACGAAGATGACATCACCCTAACTTCGGAGACTATCAACGCCCTTTTCGGGGTAGTGGAGGACCCCCGGGAAGAAGACACTGAAGGGTTCATTACCCTAGAAGATGTCTGGACAACTGTTGAAAACTTTGTTCAACTTTACTGCAGACCTGGAGTTGGAGATTTACCAAAATTAAACATGAAGAAGAACCTACTCCAGAGTGACTATGAAAAGCTGGTGAACATATTCCACAGGTGCGTCTGGAGCAAGAGCACCTCTACTGATGATATGACGGCTCTGAATGCAAAAGCTGTATTTGATGTCCACCATGGAATGAACACCAACTGGGGACAGGTAACCATCAAATCCCTAGTGGAATTCATAAAGAAGAAGGACAAAGAAACAGGTCTTTTCAAAACCCCCATGGGTTATGGACTTCTGCTGTCAGAGTTGCTGTTGAAAGCAAGAATAGGCTGAGGAACCCTATGGAGGCTGATTACTACAAACTCCTATTCCTAAATACATCTAAGGATAGGAATATTGCTCTCAGGGCTGACGAGAAAAGGTTGAGGACCTTGGAGTTCAACAGAGAGAAACTCCAACAGAAGGTGGTCAAGCCCAAGAAGGCTGGTGACCAACCAAAGAAGGCTGTGAAGAAGCAGCAGAAACCTTCCACTCTCTCAGAAAACCTGTGAAGAAAGCAGTGACTAAGAAGACGGTTCTAGAAAAGGTCAAGAAGGTAGTGACCAAGAAACCCAATCCCAAGAGGAAGAAACCCTCTTCTGTGTCTACATCATCTACCTCTTCTGCTTCTCTGGTTACTAAGAAACAGAAGATCACAACTCCTGCCATTCTGAGAACCCCACAAGCTCAGGGGGAACTACAAGAATCTGAATCACCTCTTCTGATCAAGAACCCTCTCTGGCAAGGAAAGAAGATCACTTTTGAGTCTAGTGAATCTGAGGTTGAACCAGTTATGAAGGATGTCACTACTCAGGGGGAACCTCAAAGCTCCCCCTCTGCTGCTATACCAGATCAACATTTGTTGCTTCCCTCTCCAGAGCACCAAGAAGCCACTGACAGAACCCCTGAGACATCAGAACCTCCAGTGACCAATCTTACTCCCTTGGACAAGCAGTTTGTCCAGGTTCTTGCATGGAAAAAATGAAGAGTGGGACCTCTCTCAGAGCTTATCTGAATGTTCCCATACTTTGTAATTGAGGAAGCTGAAGTCCTCAAATGGGCTGGCACAGAAGACATTG